CAAACAAAAGCCCGAGGCTCCCGGAGAGATTTCTGAGACGTGCGGACAGGCCCCAGATCATTCTGGGTAGGGGGTTCCCCCCAGAGCTAATACCCAGGAATGGTTTGGCTTAGCAAACCACTGGGGGACCAGCAGGCAGCTGAGTGCAGTAGATCTGCCCAGAGCTCAGGGGTCCTTTGTCGCTGAAGTTCCATTTCCTTTTCACTAGTCCTGTTATGTGGATTTTTTAAAAGACTTATTTATTTGAAAATCACAGAGAGAGAGAGAGAGAGAGATCTTTCATCTACTGGTTCACTTCCCAAATGGCTGCAATAGCCAAGGCTGGACTCGGTCGAAGCCAGGAGCCAGGAGCTTCATCCAGCTCTCCCAGGTGGATGCAGAGGCCCAAGGACTTGGACCATCGTCCGCTGCTTTCCCAGGTGCATTAGCAGGGAGCTGGATAAGAAATAGAGCAGCCAAGACTCGAACCTGTCACCCATTTGGGATGCCAGCATTGCAGGTGGTGGCTGAATCTACTCTGCCACAATGCTGGCCTCTCCCATTATGTGAATTCTTACCCACAATTGCCTGTAGAGCTGTTTTGTTCAGTTACCAGACCCTTCTTTAGGGGTGTGGAGGACATACAAGAGGCAAGGTTCAGTGATGATTGGGGACCCCAGGCAGGCCAGGGGTCCTAGCACTCCCGACCTCTCCCAGGCACCAAGCCTTCCCTGCTGCTCCTCTGTGGGGTAGAAGCCAGTGATTGGCAAGTGCCCCAGGCAAAAACCTTCTTCCTTACACCCTTGTTGACAGAGATGCTGTCAACAGAAGAGAACTGATAACACCTTCCTTGTGCCGATGAAGTACTGGGCTGGGTGCCATGGTCAACTTCCAAGTTCTCTGAAAAACCCTGGGAAGAGAGCAGGCAATTTAGCCTAGCCTCCATACTCCAGTACCTGGGCTCTGTTCCGTATTCCAGCTCCTGGCCCTAGTTCCCTGCTAATGTACACCCTCAGAGGCAGTGATGATGGCTCAAGTAGTTGGGCTTCTGCCACCCTGGATTGTGTCCTGGGCTTTGTCTGGGCTTTGCTTGCCCTAACCAGTGCAGGCATTTGGAGAGTGAACCAGCAGATAGGAGCTCTGCCTCTACCTCTCAAGTCGTAAAAAATTAATTAAAAATAAAAGCCCTAGAAGGTGGATACCATCCTGGTCCTCACTGTTGAGGTGGAGAAGCTACAACATGATCAGGTTAAGCCACCTGTCCAGGGTCACAGGCCTCAGTGAACCTTGGTGCCAAGAGCCACAACCAATGACCTGATTTGAAACCCCATGCTAGGTCAGAGGCTCCCTGAGGACAGACCCTGAACTCACCCCTGTGTGACAGCCCTGCAGAACTCTGGGGACTGGAACTGCTCCAAGCGTGATGGTTAACACTTAAGGCCCCTCGCCTTCACCTCTTCTGTACCTGCAAACTGCAGATGGCTTCCCCCAGCGGGGGAATCACTTGGCCTTTCTCAGGCTTGACCTGCTTGTTCGTGAAGTGCAAAAGAAGTTGAGAGAGCTGGGACTGTCTTTAATCCTTGATCACATTAGCCTGATGACCTGCTGCATTCGTCTAAGTAGCTGATGGGCAAAGTGGGTCAATCCAGCTTTAGAGTAAGCCGGGCTGGCTGCAGAAGGGAGAGGCCTGCTTTCCTGGGCTCCCTGTTGTCAGGGTCCTGGAGAGCTCGCTCGCTCTCTCCAGTGGCTTGTCCTTCCTGGCTCGGGCGATACATGCTTTATATCACCGTTTCTAGAAATGTGCTCCATCAGGGAGATGGGGTCGACGTAGATTAGGAAGCAGGAAATTTAGGACATCCCACTGAGAAGATCAAACATTATTGTGGGGAAAAAAAATTTTTTTAAATGACGATTCCTGTGCCCAGCTGAGACTCAATGAGAAATCTCTGTCCTATAGCAATTGGGTGATTTATAGATGTGTGACCAAAGCCTAGTGTCCAATGAACACATCTCCTTTTGTTGTGTGTACGCCAGGGCATGCACATAGATTAGAGTGCTTCAAAAAGCTTCTGGAAAATGCTGTTTAAAAAACTATATTTTGGATTGAAAAAAATTGCACCGAATTAAACTTGTCTTGTAATTCCATTTTTCCCACCAACTCTTTGAAGTACCCTCCTATGCTACGTTTTGATTCCATTCTGTGCCTTAAACTGTGTAATGAGCAATTTGGCAGCAATAATGACCAGGACAATAGAGGGAGCTGATACCTGTTACGTGTATACCATATGTCAGACGTATTTTAAGCGTCTTAGTGTTATTCATTGCCTTGATCCTCATTAAGCTGCGATGAGGGTAGGTATTATTGCATCCATGTATTAGAGATGCAGAAAAGAAGCCCAGAAAATTCTCTATGTTATTTAGGTAGGCATAGCAGATGAGTCAGAGCTAGGAGTTGAACCCAGGAAGTCTGACTTCTGAGCTCAGATTCTCATTAGGCCAAACTGCTTCTGCTTTACGAACCCAAGGTGAATTTTCCCAACAACTGTCATGGCTCAGAGAAGTTAAGAGACTTAACGTCCATGGGCCTGGTGCTGTGGTGCAGTAGGCTAAGCTTCCACCTGCAGCGCCAGCATCCCATATGGGCACCAGTTCAAGTCCCAGCTGTTCCACTTCCAATCCAGCTCTCTTCTATGGCCTGGGAAAGCAGTAGAAGATAGCCCAAATCCTTGGGCCCCCACACCCACGTGGAAGACCTGGATGAAGCTCCTGGCTCCTGGCTTTGGATCAACACAGCTTGAGCCATTTGGGAGTGAACCAGAAGATGGAAAACCTTTGTCTCTGTCTATAACTCTGCTTCTCAAATAAATCAATAGTTTGTTTTTTTTTTTTTTTTTTTTTTTTTTAAAGGGAGACCCTATGTCCTGATTACAGGCTAGTAAGTGGCAGAGAGCACCAAACCCTGGCCGTTACACCAAAGCCTATACTCTTATCTTTATCAGCTTCATTCTTGACCTACCTGTCAGCCAGACCACTTACCCATTCGGTCTTTGAACAGCTGCTTCTTGGACACCTGCAAATGTTCTTGGCACCATGCTGTTTCTGGGGACATCACAGTGGAGGGGACCAGTACGGTCCCTGCCTTTCTGGAGCTTGGCAGGCCCCTCCACACACACACACACATTGGGAAGTCTCTTGTGACAGTAGCAAGTCCCACCTCACGCTGTCCTTTCACCCCATCCTTCCCTGTCCCCTCCCCCGAGCTGTCGCAGAACCTCGAGCCCATGGCCGTCTCCTTGGACTCCAGCCTGTGCGCTTCTGTCCCCTTTCTCCCTGGTGTGTGCTGTCCACGCCACCCTGATTGCTTTCTCTGGTCCTTCCCCTTTGCTTATCTTGGCTGGTGGTGTTTCTAATTCCCTGAGCCCCTGCCTAAGGATTTGCTTGAAAATGTCCTACAAAAATGGACCTCAGCATCCACAGACCCCGAAGTACTGGGTTCAGGCCTCTCTAGCAGATGTTTTATAGCAGTCACTGCGTAGCCATGTCACAGAATTTATGCCGTAACGAAAAATTGTGCAGCCTATTGTTTTGTTTTACTTATTTATTTTTTTTAAACCATCTGCTGGTTCACTACCCAAGTGGCCACAATAGCCAGAGCTGGGCCAATCTGAAGCCGGGAGCTAGGAGCTTCTTCCGGGTCTCCTGCATGGGTTGCAGGAGCCCAAGTGCTTGGGCCATCTTCCACTGCTTTCCCAGGCCATAGCAGAGAGCTGGACTAGAAGTGGAGCAGCTGGGACACAAACTGGCACCCATATGGGATGCTGGCACTGCAGGCAGAGGATTAACCTCCTGAGCCATGGTGCCGTCTCCTATTATTTTATATCAGCTTTATTTACCTGCCTTTTGACTTGATGTCTTATAACCAAGGCCTTGACTTTAAGATTTATTTATTTATTTATTTGAAAGGCAAAGTTATATAGAGAGAGGTGGAGAGAAGAGAGGGAGATCGTCCATTTGCTGGTTCCCTCCCCCCAGAAGACTGCAATGGCCAAGGCTGGACCAGGCCTAAGCCTTGAGCCAGGAATTCCATCCAGGTCTCCTACGAGTGTGACAAGGTTCCAGACCCTTGGGCCATGTTCTGATGCTTCCCCAGGCGTATCAGCAGGGAGCTGGATTGACATGGAGCAGCCGGTACTCATATGGAATGCCGCCATCACAGGTGGCGGCTTAACACATTGGCCCCATAACCAAGAGCCTCAGTTTGCGCAATGATGCTCATTTGCCACCACAAAACCACTCGTTGGTCTAAATATCACGCTCTGTATCTACCGTAGGTTGCAGCAGCGTTGTCTACCTACTTTCATTTAAATGAATGCTGTGATGGCTATCCCACACGTTTTGTTTTGGTTCAAAGAATCTAGAGTGTTTTTGGTAGCTTCTAGAGTTATGTCTTAGGGACTTCTTTGTGGCATGTTTGTCTCAGGCTTACCTGATCACACCTGAGTTTCAACTCTACGGTACTTGGTTGCTTTTTGAAGGAAGGGCCTTTGTTGTGCTGTGGTCACTGTGATGCAGTTGGTACAAGCTGTGGGGGGAGAAATGGGGAGGTTTATCTTCCAATATCCAGGGCTGGTATGAGTGTGTGAAGGACCCGTGGACAGTGAGAGCTTGGGGCTATTTTTCAGGAAAAGCACCTATCCAGGGGCCACAGGCTCATGTGCTTTGACATTGTTTGGATGTTTGGGACACCCTGAAAAACAAGGGCGAGGCGGCACCCACCCACCCGAAGGGCTTGGGGAAATCTTGCCTTGCCCTTTTTACCTCTGCTAAAGGCACCTTCCTGTTTGGGGTCCGTCGGTCCCACCTGGCTTCGGAAGCACAGTACACCTGCAGGATTCTGATTGCATGCTCCCGTGTCTCTTCAAGGGCTCCCAGTCCCCAGAGGGTACGCGCGTGGCCCTTGAGAGGCGGGGCCAAAGAGGCACCCCTGTCTGACCTGAGGTTGCTCTGTTTGCTTTGCCCAGGGACCTGATGCCGAGGACCCTGGACGGGCAGATCACCATGGAGAAGACGCCCAGCTACTTCGTGACGCGCGAGGCGCCCGCGCGCATCTCGGCCATGTCCAAGGACACCAAGCTCATCGTGGTGGTGCGCGACCCGGTGACCCGGGCCATCTCGGACTACACGCAGACGCTGTCCAAGCGGCCCGACATCCCCAGCTTCGAGAGCCTGACGTTCAAGAACAGGAGCGCGGGCCTCATCGACACGTCGTGGAGCGCCATCCAGATCGGCATCTACGCCAAGCACCTGGAGCACTGGCTGCGCCACTTCCCGCTGCGCCAGCTGCTCTTCGTGAGCGGCGAGCGGCTCATCCGCGACCCGGCCGGCGAGCTGGGCCGCGTGCAGGACTTCCTGGGCCTCAAGCGCATCATCACGGACAAGCACTTCTACTTCAACAAGACCAAGGGCTTCCCCTGCCTCAAGAAGCCCGAGGGCAGCCCCAAGCCGCACTGCCTGGGCAAGACCAAGGGCCGGCCGCACCCGGACATCGACAGCGAGGCGCTGCGCCGGCTGCGTGACTTCTACCGGCCCTTCAACCGCAAGTTCTACCAGATGACCGGCCACGACTTCGGCTGGGATTGAGGCTCGCTGTGGGCGGAGGGGCCGTGTGGCTGAGCCCCGTGGCTTATATATTGAGAGAGAGTATATGTATGTAAAATGTACAGAAATCTATTTTATAATAATTTATTTTTAATTCATGAGCAATTAATTCACTAAGCTGCCTAGCCACACTCTTCAGAGCGTTAGCTTCCTAACTTGTTAACATTCCAAAGTGTGCAACTCCGATCTCGTTTCGTTCTGTTCCCCACAATGGATGGTGCTTCCAAGCCCGCCCCGCCCCCCTCCCACACTCCCTCTACCCCATTCGTGATATTTAAAAAGAAGAAAAGCACAACTTGAGATTTTTGTTGTTACGGGTATTCAGCCTTCGATCGCTGTGCGCGTTCTCTCATCGTCATCTCCTCCTGCCTGGGTCCCCTGGAGCCCCGAGCTGCTCCGGCTTCAGCGCTGTGTTCCGAGGGGCTTCCTGTTCAAAGTGGTGCAAACCACAGCGCTGATGTTTCCCCACCGCCACCAAGCACGTGGAGGAGGAAGCACCAGCTTTCCCGCAGCTTTGGGTGGGTGTGGCAGGGTAGCCCTGCCCACCTTCCTGGGCCCATGCACTAGTTCCGAGTGTATGCAAATGTTAGCCCGACTCCCCCGGCTCACCCGTGTGAGATGCTTGGGTGCTGCTTCAGAAATAAGGACGTCCCTTCACTTCTGATGTGCATGAAAGCATGCCCCCCCCCCCCCCGCCCCGGTCCCTTCCTCCGGGCACGCAGTTCTGCTCTGACACACCAAAGAATCCCACAAGCTTGCAGAGCCACCAGCACAAACCCAGGGCCCCGGTGGGGGATGGGGTGGGGGTGGGAGTCAGGTGCATCCCGCTCCATCAGTGTCTACCATGTTGCTGCTAGGTGCAGAGGGAGCCGGGGGTGTTGAGCCATAATCCCACAGCTGCAACTGGAAAGAGAGACAAAGGACCCAAGAGTGACAGGTGGCCAGGCCAGAGCAAGGAAACCCCTACCCCCACCCCACCTCTGCTTAATATCTCCTTGGAATTCCTAGCTCATCTCAGAACAGCCTGGAGCCAGTGGCCAGAGCGTAAGAGCCTACAGTGGCTCTTGTATAGGCGGATTGTGGAAAGCTGGTGCCTGGGAGCCCTGAAAGCCCAGCCCCGCGACAGCTGTCCCTTGTTTTAGCCAGGCCTTTGCAGAGGGCTGCTGGCACAGAAAGCCCTCTTCATACTTCTCTGCTCAGACAGCAATTGGGACTTTTTAGGATGACTGGCTGGCTAGTTGGGTTACCAAACAGCAGTTTCACATAAACGATAGATTCAGTTCGTCCTGAGTTTTCTAGACCAGAATGCTTCTACCACAAAAGAACTGCGTAATGACTGTACTTCCAACAAAGGATACGTAGGGAGATGAAGGAGCACGCACTATCAAAATGATGGGGCCATGAGACATACAAAGGATGCTTGTACATGTATCGGTACCTTGTCTGATAGTGTTGTAAGAAACATGTATGGAGAGAGGAGGGAGAATTCATCTGTAGAAGCTGATCAGAGACATCTGGTTTGTGTTTGTTTGCTGGAAAGTTTAAGCAAGGGCAAGCTCACTTATACATTGTAGCAAAAACTGCCCTTGTAGGTTCTCTTGGGGGAGGAAGGCCATCCCGAACTGCGCATGCCTCAGATCTGTCTCATAAATTTTCCTTTTTTTCCTCCTGTCTCTACAAAGCGAGGTAGAACCTACACATAGAGGAACACCATCATCATAGCTTGGGTCTTCCCTCTTACTGCTTTGGGTGTAAAAACACCTGCCCGAGGGTGCTAATTTGATTTCCCAATTTGGAAATCAAACTGAAAACACTTCCATTTCAGTTCTGGCATAGTGTTGCTTGAAGTAATACGATAGGGCAGTATCAGGTCCTTCACCCAGTCTTGCCCTGCCTGTTTTCTGGGCGCTCCCCCTGGTGGGCCAGGGCTCAGAGAAGGATATACCACCCAGTGCAAGGGAAACCTATGCAAGCTTGCCCTTTCTGCCTTCCTTCCAAGCTGAACGATGTTGGATGAAGCTGTTTATACCCTGCCTTAAAATAAAACCCGAAACAGGAGATGTTCTGTTACAAAGAGGGCCATGTATAGTCATGAACACTATAGAGTCAGAACTCTATGCCTGGCCAGGTCCTCGCATCCAAACAGATGCTGAGATATAGGACCACTAAAGTAGAGCACGTTTTTCCCTGGAAGACAAAGAAATCAGACATCCTGTGTGTCTCTTCCTCGGGGTCTGATGGCTGAAACTCCTGGCTGATCCCGATGTAGCATCTGCCCCAGGGTGACCCCCCAGTCACCCGCGTTATCTTCCTCCCAGGGAAGTTAAGCAACCTAGAAAATGAAGCCTGGGGTTTCTTCCTCTTCTAGAAATCTGCAAGGCCACCCGGCTTAACTTTTTAGCTGCTAGAAGACAGCCACCATTTCGTGTTTTGGTGATTTGTGCTCGCACGTGCTTCGGGTTTGTTTTTTTTTTTTTTTCTTTTCCCCAGTTTACAGGTAAAGCACTGGTGTTCCATGGAGTATTTATTCCTCTCCGTGTTGTCCCTTTTTTGGTTGTTGTTTAAAAAAAAAAGTGAGCAAACCATTGTTCCTATCCCACACTTCCTCGGAGGGGTCTGTACAGTTTGCTAACCTAAGAGGTGACACCTGGTAAAGTGACTGCTGGATGATGGAGGAAGAGAAGTGATCTTCATGGGATTCTCTCTGCGAGTCCTTTGGGGTGACAGATAACGTTTTGGAGCTTTGGAGAAACACAGTGTCAGATCCTGGCAGGGTATTTTTGAAAGAAAACCAAGTGGAACGTTCCAGTGAGCTAGAAGCGCTTAGTACATATGGAAGATGCCGACACGGAGTCAGTGCCATTTTTTTTTTTCTTTTCAGTTTATCAGGAAGGATGATCAATACAGCATAAAAGGTGTGGTTAGATTTTTTTTCACTTTTGTAACATTAATTTATGACTGAGTCTCATTCAGCCCCGTAATATACTGTGCAAATTCCAGCAGTATGTCTTCTGTAACCCGGATGTTAGAATAGCCAATATGTACAAAAAAAAGTAAATCAAGTATTTTGTCCTATGTATAACACAAATTAATTTTACACAGAGAAAGATGTTTCTAGAAAATGGAATTATGATAATTCATACTATTTCTTTGTATGAACAAATAAAAAATATATTTTACCAACTTATGGGCCCTGCTGTGTTTTCTTATGCATTGCTGATGGGCAAGGCAGTGATATTTTACCTACCACTGATCACCTGTGGCAGGTGTGTGCGCGGGCGTTCTGAGGCAGGTTGATCTTTCATTTTTTTTTTTTTTTAAGATTTATTTATTTATTTGAAAGTCAGAGTTACATGGAGAAAGAAGGAGAGGCAGAGAGGGAGAGAGAGGTCTTCCATCTGATGCTTCAGTCTCCGATTGGCTGCAATGGCCGGAGTTGCACAGATCCGGAGCCAGGAGCCAGGAGCCAGGAGCTTCTTCCAGGTCTCCCATGTGGGTGCAGGGGCTCAAAGACTTGGGCCATCTTCTACTGCTTTCCCAGGCCACAGCAGAACGCTGGGTTGGAAGTGGAACAGCCGGGACTCAAACTGGCGCCCATATGGGATCCCGATACTGCAGGCAGCAGCTCTACCCACTACGCCACAGTGCCGGCCTCAATCTTTTAGATGTTAGAGGGGCCAACTCAACTACAAGTATTTAGGGTGCATTTTAAAAAAATTCTTCATTTATTTGAGAAGCAGGCATACAGGTAGACACACACACACACACACACACACAGAGAGAGAGAGAGAGAGAGAGAGAGAGCTTATATCTGCTGATTCACTCCCAAATGCCCATGATGGCCAGAACTGGGCTGTGGTTAAAGCCAAGGAACTCATTCCGTGTCTCCCACGTGGGTGGCAGGAACCCAATTTCTTGAGCCATCACTACTATCCCCAGCGGTCTTCATTAACAGAGAACTGGCATCAGAAGCTGGTGCTACTGAATTGAACCCAACCACTCCATTATGGGACATGAACATCTTAATGGCTACACCAAAGTCTGTTTTGGGGGTAGATATTTTTTTGTAAATCATTCTCAAGGCTCCCTGGAGACATGAGTTTGCCCCTCCCCTGCCCAGAGTGCTGGCCATTACCTGGGTTTCTGAATATCCTGCAACCACTCAGTGTGCTGTGGCCTGTATTCCAAGTTCAGGCCAAGGTGGGCGCGTGTGGGAAACCAGCTGTCACACAACAGGTGCCATGCGGCGGAGCACCTATGGCTGAGTGGGTCTGGATGGCAGCGGCATTCCCTCCTCACATTGGCAGTGTTCAGCCACACAAAGGCAACACAAAGGCAGCAAGGGCTTGGACGAGATGATGTTTCTGTATCTTCTGTCTTGTGGCCCGGCTCGCCACCTGTACAATTACTATTTATAACTTCAACCATTGGATCCACTGTCTTATTTTACTGCATTTTAAAAGGGAACCTGATACAGTTTTTAGTGAGAAGCCATAATCTCTTGCCACACAGAGGAGGTCATCATAAAACACTAGGCATTGTGGAAACAGCAACACTACTCATTTCTAGATAGAGTGCATAACTAAAACCATGTTAGCCTTGGCCCGAGGCTCACTCACTGGACACTTTGGGAAACCTTGTGACTTGTACGAAGGAAAAAGACCTTGGGTCAGGGCACGGAGTTGAAATTAGCCTCGCATGGGGGGAGGTGGCAGAGGCAGTGGAAAGAAAACCTTACCTAAAGCAGACAGGGAAGGAAGTGGCCCATTGGATCAGAAGTCTAAGATTCGGTTTTCAAATTTATTAAGCCGTCACCCCGTATGGCTCTGGAGCCCCTGGAAGGGAAGCCATAGGATAGTGGCTCCTGCAGCATTTCAAGGAGTGCCAAGGCTCCCTTGATCACCCGGGGGGCTCTTTAATCAGGCAGCCCCCAAACTGTGAGCTGTAAACAGAAGCATAGCTTTGTGGAGAATAAGGGATTTTTTTAAGAGAGTTAATAGCCTGTACATCCCGAATTCTACCTAATCTTCTAAAGTTGATCTTCATCAGCCTATTCGCAGCATCTAGTACATGGTGGATAATTATTTCCGGTTTTCCTTTATGATTGAACACACAATGGACCTAAAGTCCTAAATGTCCATTTATGGTGAATGATTCCTCCGGGCAGGTTGGGCATTCAGCCCCGCAGTGCAGACAGCCACTAGGACTCACGCATCCCATGTTGGAGTGGAGCTGTATTCTCAGTGCTGGCTCCCGACTCCGGCTTCCGGCTAATGCAACCCTGCTGGTTCAAGTAGCTGGGCTCCTACCACCTGCATGGGAGACCTGCACTGTGCTGGGAGCTCTCAGCTTTGGCCCTCTTTGAGGCATTTTTGGGGAGTGAATCACCAGAAGAGACAATGTTCTTTCTATGCCTGTCAGTCTGTGAGCTGTGTCTGTCCCTAAAATAATAAGTAGGGGCTGGCACTGTGGCCCAGCAGGCTAAGCCACCGCCTGCAGTGCCGGCATCACATATAGGCACTGGTTGGAGTCCTGGCTGCTCCACTTCCAATCAAATTCCCTGCTAGCACTCCTGGGACAGAAGTGGAAGATGGTCCAAGTCCTCGGGCCCCTGCACCCACTTGGGAGACCTGGAAAAATCTCCTGGTTCCTGGCTTCATTAAAATTAAATAGGCCGGCGCCATGGCTCACTAGGGTAATCCTCCGCCTGTGGCACCGGCACACCAGGTTCCAGTCCTGGTTGGGGCGCCGGATTCTGTCCCGGTTGCTCCTCTTCCAGGCCAGCTCTCTGCTGTGGCCCGGGAGTGCAGTGGAGGATGACCCAAGTGCTTGGGCCCTGCACCCGCATGGGAGACCAGGAGGAAGCGCCTGGCTCCTGGCTTCAGATCTGCACAGCGCGCCGGCTGTAGCGGCCATTTGGGGGATGAACCAAAGGAAGGAAGACCTTTCTCTCTGTCTCTGTCTCTGTCTCTCTGTCTCTCTCTCTCTTTCTCACTGTCTAACTCTGCCTGTCAAAAAATAAAAAAAAAATAATAATAAAATTAAATAAATAAATAAAAATGAAAGATTCCTCCAGGTCATCTGGCCATGTTGTTGTCAATATTAAGTGCATCTAAACTTAACAATACCTAGCATTAGCTTCTAGTTTCATTTTCCATTTTCACTCATCATTATGTGCAAAAGATGATACGATAGTCTCATTTTTTGCACAAAATTGCCTGTATGAACATATCCACAGTATTCCCCATTTAAAGGTTTGGTGGCAGCGAGGGGTGGGGGTGGCGAGGGGAGATTGCTCCCATCCAACAACCTGGTTTTTTTGAAACTAGAAGTTTCCTGAAAACAGTTAACATAAGGAATTGTTCCGAGGCTGGCATTGTGGTGCACGGGGTTAAGACACTGACATCTCATGTCAGTGTGTTGGCCAAGTCCCATGCTCCTCTTCTGATCCAGCTCCCTGCTTTTGCACCTGGGGAAGCAGCAGAAGATGGCCCAAGTGCTTTGGGCCCCAGCCATTTGAGGGTGAACCCACACAGCAGATGGAAGATCTCTCTCTTTCTGACTTTCCTTCTCTCTTTCTCTCTGTCTCTCTGCCTTTCAAAAAATTAAAATAAATCTTAAAAATAAAAGGAATTATTCTTCCCCACCAACAGTCCACCCCGGACCTGCCATTGTTCCTATGAGTTACACTGAAGCTCTTTGTAATTCTTCCTAGAAATCCTGACCTCAACACAGGAGGCCTTGCAAGCCTTCTCTTTCCACGAGAGAAGGCATCAAGCCTGCACTGTAGGCAAATTAACAGCCAACCTGCTGTCTGATCTCTCTCCATTTGGGTGTCTCGGTAAACATAAACCCGCCCCCAACTGAACTCTCATTTCTTCCCGAATCTTCTCCCCTAATCTCAAGTGCTGAGGAGCAGCCAAGCACGGGCAATCTGGAGTCCTTCCTAACACCTCTGTCTCCCACATTCCTCGCATCCCATCCATCACTGAGCCTTGTCAAGACACCTTCTAGAAAATCTCCCTCATCCATTCCGTTGCATCTCCTCTGTCACTGGCACCTGCTACAGGCTCCCGTCCTGGAGGTGGGCGGCTGCGGGAGTCTTCCTCCTGCCTGCACCTCACACATGTTCTCTTCCTGCCTCCCATCCGTCCTGCTCATAGCAGCTGGAGGAGTCTTAGAGACTCAAGCTGGACTGAGACTTCCTCCCACCAAAAGTTCTCTAATAGCCTTCGTTATATTTCAGATGAATCCCAACTCCCTGCGTTGTCTTGGATGTTTCTGCCCAGCCTCTTTTTTTTTTTTTTTTTTTTTTTTTTTTGACAGGCAGAGTGGACAGTGAGAGAGAGAGACAGAGAGAAAGGTCTTCCTTGGCCGTTGGTTCACCCTCCAATGGCCGCCGCGGGCGGCATGCTGCGGCCGGTGTGCTGCGCTGATCCGATGGCAGGAGCCAGGAGCCAGGTGCTTTTCCTGGTCTCCCATGGAGTGCAGGGCCCAAGCACTTGGGCCATCCTCCACTGCCTTCCCTGGCCACAGCAGAGAGCTGGCCTGGAAGAGGGGCAACCGGGACAGAATCCGGCGCCCTGACCGGGACTAGAACCCGGTGTGCCCCAGCCTCATTTTTTACCTTCTATTCCTTGATCCCTATGCTCCAGCCACAGTAGTTTTATTTACTTTTTAAAAGACATTTATCAGCAGGTTAAGCCGCTGGCTGCAGTGCCGGCATCCCATATGCCGGAGTCCCGGCTGCTTCACTTCTGATCCAGCTCTCAGCTAATGGCCTGGGAAAGCAGTAGAAGATGGCTCAAGTGCTGGGACCCTGCACCCATGTGGGAGACCTGGAAGAAGCTCCTGGCTCCTGGCTTTGGCCTGGCCCAGCCCTGGCTTAGTGGTCATTTGGGGAGTGAACCAGTGGATGGAATCTCTCTATCTCCTTCTCCCTCTCTCTCTAACTCTGCCTTTCAAATAAATAAATCAATCTTAAAAAGCAAAGGAAGAGAAATGAATGACCATGTTCCTGGCTCATGTATTTGCTGTAGCACACTTTTTATCATTATTTAAGAATGTCCTCTTTCTACTGACAAAAACTTTGCTGCAAAACAGTCTACCTTGTCACGCCAACAGCAGCCGCATCCAGCTCTGTCTGTATGTTCCCCTCCTCCAATCGGACCACCTCTATGAAA